ATTGAGGGACTGACCGACGAAAGCGCGAAGTCGAGAGGAAAGAAGGCGTCAGCAGCCTGCAAGCGCATATTTGGCGTAGCCCGTCGTTTCAGAAGGGACCATCACCCTGTCACTCTGGAAGAAGCTCTCACGAAGTACCTCACCTGGCTGACAGACGAACAAAAGGAAGAACTGAAGTCGATGAAAGAGAGCGGAGATAAGGAGGGCATCTACAAGAAAGTCATGGAGTACTTCGAAGGCATCACTGGAGAAAAGAAGGAAAAGGCTACAGAGGAGCTGCGAGCGGCTTGCAAGCACTATCTCAGAGAAATTCTGGGAAATGAGAAAGCTGACGAATTCCGTTCCATGAAGGAGAGCGGTACACCTGAGGAGGAGGGCATCTACAAGAAAGTCATGGAGTACTTCGAAGGCATCACTGGAGAAAAGAAGGAAAAGGCTACAGAGGAGCTGCGAGCGGCTTGCAAGCACTATCTCAGAGAAATTCTGGGAAATGAGAAAGCTGACGAATTCCGTTCCATGAAGGAGAGCGGTACACCTGAGGAGGAAATCGCCAAAAAAGTCGAGGAAGCCATTGAGGGACTGACCGACGAAAGCGCGAAGTCGAGAGGAAAGAAGGCGTCAGCAGCCTGCAAGCGCATATTTGGCGTAGCCCGTCGTTTCAGAAGGAGATCACCACGAGCACACACTTGGACATGCATTGGATAATTATCTCACATGGTTAACTGAGGACCAAAAAGAGCAGGTCAAGGAGCTCTATGAAGAAGGAGGTAGAGGTGCAGTGTATGATAGAATCATGGAGTACTTTGACGACGCTACCGGAGAGACAAAGAAGAAGGCAGCGATGGAGCTGAAAGGGGCATGTAGGCATTACGTGAAGGATCTCATCGGAGAGAAGAATGGAGAGGTTATCAGAGATATGAAAGAGAACGGAGCCTCAAATGATGAAATTGCCACGAAAGTCGAGGAAATGATTGAAGCCATCGCTGACGATAAGAAGAAAGCTCAAGCACTTCGAGCTTCTGCCAACTGTAGGAAGATCTACGGCGTGGCTCGGCGCTTCAGAAGAGGCCACAAAGAGGACTCTATCGACGACATTATCGATAAATACCTGAAATCTTGGCTGGATGAAGATCAGAAGGAGGAGGTGAAGAAGCTCCATGAAGCCGGGGACCACGAAGGCATATACAGCAAAGTGATGGGACTTTATGACAGTACTACTGGGGATTTAAAGGAGAAAGCTACTGCTGGAATGCAGGCGGCTTGTAGGTACTACATGAGAGTTCTAATTGGGGATGAGAAAGCTGATGAATTGAAAGAGATGAAGGAGAGTGGAGCAAGTCACAGCACTATCGCTGCCAATTTGGAGGAATTCATCGCTTCCATGACCGACGAATCGAAGAAAACCAAAGCGAAACGACTCGCAGATACTTGTAAGAGGATTTTCGGTGTAACCCGGCGCTTCAGAAGGGACCAACAGCACGAGCAGAGTCTGGAAGAAGCCATGGAGAAGTACCTAAGCTGGATGAATGAGGATCAGAAGAAGGAGATAGACAGGCTGTATGATTCCGGGGATAAGCAAACGATGTATAAGAAGGTGATGGAGTTCTACGACAGCGCTTCTGGAGACGTGAAGGAAAAGGCAACGGTTGAGCTGAAAGCTGCCTGTAGACATTACGTCAAGGCGACAGTAGGTGAGGAGAAAGCTGATGAGCTGAAGAAGTTGAAGGAGAGTGGAGCCAGTCACGACGCTATCGCTGCCAAAGTTGAAGAATTCATCGCTGCCATCACTGATGAGAAGAAAAAAGCCCAAGCAGAGCGAGTTTCAGTGGCCTGCAAGAAGGTCTACGGTGTAGCTAGACACGAACACAGCTGGGAGGAGGCGAAGGAGAAATACCTCACCTGGCTCGATGAGGATCAAATGGAGGAGTAAAGAAGCTCTACGATTCAGGAGACAAGGAAGCAATGTATAAGAGGGTAATGGAAATCTACGAAAGCGCTTCAGGAGACGTGAAGGAAAAGGCGACCGTTGAGCTGAAGGCAGCCTGCAAGCACTACGTGAAAGACACTATTGGCGAGGAAAATGCTGAGAAGCTGAAGGAAATGAAAGAAGGTGGTGCCACCCCCGAAGCGATCGCTGCAAAAGTTGAAGAATTCATTGCAGCCATCACTGATGCGGAAAAGAAAGCGAAGGCAGAGCGAGCTGCAATGGCTTGCAAGAAGATCTATGGAGTGGCTCGACGATTCAGAAGGGAACACCACGAGCACAATCTCGAGGAAGCCATGGAAAAGTACTTGTCATGGCTCCGTGACGACCAGAAAGCTGAAGTGAAGAAGATCTATGCAACCGGTGATCGTGTGGCTGTCGAGAAGAAAGTCCTGGAGATGTTTGAGGATGCCACCGGCGATGTCAAGCAGAAAGCTGCAGCCCAGATGAGAGCCGCTTGCAAGCACTACATCAAAGAGTACATCGGTGATGAGAACGTTGCCAAGATCAAGCAGATGAGGGACAGCGGAGCTACCAACGAAGAGCTCTCCGCCAAAATTGATGAATTCATCGGTGCGATAACTGAGAGCGAGAAAAAGGAGAAAGCTCTACGGGTAGCGGCACAATGCAAGAAAGTTTACGCGCTGAAAAGCAGTCGAATGAGAAGAGCTCTGGCAGTATTGAGGGCACACCGTCATCTCGCTGAAAAACGTCGACGACATCAGGATGATGTTCATTTTTTAGACATTTGAGTTGAGGTTTTCCAGGCGTTTTATGTATGTAATGTTGAACATGAAATTTGCAATAAATCCCTGACTAGGTTTTCGAATAAACTGTTTTTTTTCTCAATGAGCGTACACTAGATTGAAAGTTATAAAAATCGTTAATTATGATAGGAAGTCACTTGTACAGAAGGAACTCTTGAGAAGAGCAAAATACTATTTGGTAGCAAGTTTGGATAGATATTGATTTCAGCGGGACCCCTGCGATAGGCGATTTCATCGATCGCGAGAGCCAGTGCGGAAAGATCTCAGCGGGGTTCAGTGCCCAAGCAAAATCTTATTCCATCCCTATCGAAGACACCGGAGAAGGGGCTTTATTGAGGGTCGAAGAGCACGCAAAGGAGCATCTCAGCCATTCGGAGACTCCCCCACCCCCTCAACATCTTTCCACCCGTCTCCTGATTTCATAGCCCTTACAAAGGGCTCGAGCCCGCTCGGGATGGATTTCAGCGGGGTTCAGAACCCCTGCGATAGGCGATCTCATCGATCGCGAGAGCCAGTGCGGAAAGATCTCAGCGGGGTTCAGAGCCCATGCAAAATCTTATTCCATCCCTATCGAAGACACCGGAGAAGGGGCTTTATTGCGGGTCAAAGAGCACGCAAAGGAGCATCTCAGCGGCCTTCGGAGACTCACTCAACATCGTTTCCATCCTTGGTATCCCCTGAACTTACAGCCCTTACAAAGGGGATTCATAGCTCGGAGCCCGCTCGGAATGGATTTCAGCGGGGTTCATAACCCATGCAAAATCTTATTCCATCCCTATCAAAGACACCGGAGAAGGGGCTCCATTGAGGGTCGAAGAGCACGGTTGTAACTACTAGAATCTTCAGAAACCTCATCTCCACTGAACAGCCTGCGAACTTTTACCAAGCTGTGAAACGCGGGCATGACGGGCTACACACCTTCAGCTTCCTAAGCGGTCATTAATTCAGTCCAGTGGACCTACCTGCTGTGTTATCCAAATGGTGTTCAGCCACTGTAAATAACAAGACAAAAGACAATAAGAAGACAGCCGTCGATCAATCCCTTTTTGGAATGCGGTGTGTGTTTGTGTGCTATTCTGAGACCTGTAAATAGATATAAACAAATAACAAATAAATAAACAAGGCCGCTGCCACATATGTAGCTGCATACGAGTCACCATCAGTAGGAAACCGGAAAAACAGGGTGAGGATCCGAGTTTGTTTTCTTTCTTTCAGGCGCCGTAGTTGATAAACGACCTCAATGTCATCGATTTGATTGGCGGCCAACGAGATGTAATGAACCCGACAGTCATTTATTTCCCCGTCTCAGACGTCTGCTTTTATCAGAGTTCTTCACTTCGTGGTCACTCTGTCAGCAAATATCACTTCTTTGAATGCCTGTGTTCTAGAATGACCGCTCTCCAGGCTCTACTGTTTGCATTATTCGTTTGGGAATCTTTTACTCACGCGGATGCCCAGGTGAGTCATTCGAAAGCCTCCTCCACTAACTACTTGAAATGCTTAAAAATCACTCTAAATATAAATCTCTGTGATAGATGTGCTTGTATTATAAAAGGTTTTGATTTTCTTCTTGGCATATGTGGTTCAGTTACGAAGCCCACAGGAGAACATGACAAAGCTGTACATGATGAACCTGAGAACATATTTGGGTAGAGCGACGGAGGGGGGGGGCTTTTGTTCTTCTTCTCTTCACTAGTTCCAGTTTACAAGTCTCATGCTTGTGACACCTGTGAACTCTTGTGAAGCTGGGACAAACTGGTTGAGCCAACACTATTCCGTTGCTTTACAAGATTTGACAGTTACTCTTTACAAGTGTTGA